ATTAAATACAAAAATGTTACTTTCTCACATTATTTACACTAAAGTTTTTAAATGAAGCGTCTAAAATGATCAAATAACTAAAAACAAAAAAATACAAATTTTTGTGCTGCAGCATAAAAACATATCAATGATTAGATATTAATACTTGATCATTGGATCTGATTGATTATTATGATTTTAACAACTAAAGTGGACATTTTTTCTAACAGTTTCAGCCTCTTTCAGCCAGCTGACCTGCAGTCCTCAGCAGATTCATCCTCATCCTGCTTTGAAGAAACAAACCAACGTTTTCATCACTGAGCTGATAAAGCTGATCAATATCTTCAATATTTTATTCAACTTGTTTTTCTTTATTTAAGAAGTGAAGGATCAGGCAGCATCTCATCAATATCCTGATAACAGTGATTGATGTCATCATCACATCAATCACTGTTTTAAATATGATTTAAAATGTTAATAAAGTTTGGAAACTTGATTCTGACTGACTGGATCAGAACCGGTTCCGGTCCAGTCCTCTCTCTGCCTGACATCAAACTTTAATTGATTATAAATTAATAAAATGATTTCTGTCTAATCAATAACCAATAATAACTGGAGTTTCATTTTGAGGTGTTTTACAGGAACAGATTATTGATCTCTGATTTTTCTTAATCTACTTATTGATCCAGAAGGTTTTATTATTCTGAGCTGGTTCCGGTTCGACTGGACCCGGACCGATGGCTCACCTGTACCGGAGGAAACCCGCGGTGTCGGTTCGGTTCAGTCGGTCCACATGATGTCCTCCAGCAGCAAAGTAAACAATCCTGGTTCTGGTTCCGGTTGGGTTCGGGCCTGTCGGTACCGGGACAGCCAGGCGGGTCAGCGGGGTCCGACTCAGAGTAAAACTTTATTCCGACCGGATCTAACGGAGGATCCGGGGCCGACTTTTCCCGGGTGACGTCACTGCCCGGTTCTGGAGGCCGTCAGAGGACCGGAAGCCGGAGGGCCGGGCTGGGGGAGAGTTTAGGCCCGGACCTGGAGCCAGGCAGCCGGGGCGGCCAGGGCGGCAAGAAGCGGCGCGTCCCGGGACAGAGCGGCTGGAAGGCGGTGATCCGTCAGCGGGTCCGGCCCGGTCCGACCGGGAGGGGGACGAGTCAAGAGAGAACCGGGCCCGAAACAGAGGAGAAGGAGAAGCAGCGAGGGGAGGAGAGGCTGAGAGGCTGGCCGGTGGCCTGGCCGCGCGGCGGTGAGTGCGTGAGGAGCGCGGGCGCGTCCCCGTGGAGCGGAGAGCCGGGGCCGCGTCAGACCGGCGTCAGGCCCCGCCTCCTCTCAGAGCTGCTGCACTGACAGAGGTCTCACTCTGAGGAAGATTCCTCCCCATCAGACTCAGGGATAAACCAGGGGAGCTCTACAGAGGGAGAGGAAGTTGGAGTAACCAAAACTACAAACAGTAACAGCTGATCAAAACATTTAACTCATTACATAAGATACTAAAATCAAAGGTATAAGAATAAATCTACTTGAACATAATTCTAATGTAAGTTTCTGAAAATCTGCTCTTTTTGTTCTTACTCAAAAATAAACATTTTTAATCTCTAGATATTTAGAACAACAAGCTGAACCTGGAAAGACCAAAATGTTTTCAGATTCATTTAAAAGAGTAAAATATAAACAGGATGCAAGTCCACAACACAAACTGGTGCAGGTCTGGCTCCAGGTAAACTGAACCAGGTAAACAGAACCTGATGAACAGAACCAGGTCTAAATCTGGATCAAAGCTCCAGAGAATCAGTCACATGATCTGCCTCTTTGTTTCTGCCAGGACACGGCAGCACAGAAACATGCTGGAAACAAGGGAGGGAGGGGTCAGGAAACACCTGGAGGTCAGGAAACACACCACACACACACACACACACACACACACACACACACACACACACACACACACACACACACACACACACTCAGCTGTAAAACAAATAAAACTCATTTCAGTTTTATCCGTTCACTTTGCTCCTGACCTTGACCTCCATGTGAGCGGCAGCTGGGCTGCGTGCTGATTGGTCCTTGGTTTGGGATCCTGATGAGGTTTGTAGGAAACTCCCTCTGCAGCTCCCCCTGCTGGTCAGAACACATTACTGCACTCATTTATTTCCTCTGCATGATTGATGTGAGGAGAATTTTATTGATTTTTCATGAGATTGACCTTTGACCTGTGTTCCAAATGGATTTCATCCATTCAAAAATAATTAAAGTGTTTCACATTTAGGAGAAAATATGTTGCTGCTTTATACTTCTGTGGCAAACTGTAGAGAAGAATTTTATGAAGTAATTTATTTTCCATTTAGTTTGAAGAAATTTAAACTCTGCAGCTAAGTTTTTGATGCTTCCTGGATCAGATGTTTCTACCTGTTATATATCTATAAAAACACCTGAGATCCAGGGGGAGAAACCACTTCTGGTTCTCGGCTCCATCACCATCAACCTTCTCTCTCCACCAGGACTTAACGCTGCTTCACCAGGAGGTGGCGCATTTGAGCCATAAATCAAACTAAAGATAATCGCATCCCTCATGCTGCAGACCTTAGAGCTTCATGCCAGCTGAAGTGTTTTCCACAGGTAAAAACAGAATGAAGACATTTTAACAGAGTTTGGTTCAAAGGTTCTGGTTCTGCAGGATTGTTAACGAGAAGAACAACTGGACCGTTTATCCACAAATATGTAAATCTTTCCTGATTTAGGTCAACCAGTTATTCATCTTTGTTCGTAATAATGAGACTTTCTTCAGATTCAGGATCCATAACATTAATATTCCCTGAAACAGTTTTAAAAACCCAGATCTCCAACACTTTGCTTCCTTGTGTGACATCATGGAAATGAAAAGAAAATCCTGCCTGATTCATCCCAGGGTCTAATTTCAAGGTGTCTGAAGGTTCCTGGTTGATTTGCAGCCATAAACAGGACAGGAACGTCCAGGAACTGGTTCTGGTGTCAAACAACTGCAGAACCAAAGCTTGTGTAGAAGAGTCATCATTCATGGGAAACCAGCCATGTATCAACAGGAGACGAAAGGCCACTGAGAGGAAAGCAGCCATTAAGCATCTGAAGACCCCAGATTAGAGCCTGCAGACAGAACCGGACATTCTGGAGGAATCCCGTCCCAACTGCATCATGTTCTGGGGAACTGGTGCACTTCACACACTCCATGGCATCAAGAGAAAGAAGATTATGTAGAAATAGTAAAGCAACATCACGACGTATCAGCAAGGAAGTTAAATCTTGGATAGACGGTTGTCCAGATGGACAATGTCCCCCAGCAGAAGAGATTCAGGGACGACAAAGTCAACGTGTTGGAGTGAGCATCACAAAGACCGCACTTTACAGATAATAGGGAGTGAAACGATATGGGCTAATCAGCTTAGCATATAGTTAGCAGGCTAAGTATTTAGTTTGGAGCTAAATATGAAACTCAGAGCTAAATATTTAAAAAGCTGTTTCCTGTAAATTTATAAACTGCTGCTTCCTGTCAACCATTTATTATTTCTTTCCCTCTTTTCTTGTTCAACATTAAACGAAGACTCTACAGCAGCGATGGATGTTAGCAAGAACCAGCTTTTACTTTGGTAGCTGTTAAGAATTTAAAAGAGGAATAACTTGATTTAGCTCTTTAATTAATTCTTCTTTGTCCCGAATTCTTGCATCTGTATACATGTGCAGGGAGAAAGAGCAATCATATGACGTCAGACTTCAGATATCCAGAGTTTTATCCAGAGAAAATCAATGCAAGAAGAATGTTACAATAAGCATCTCACCTAGATCATCAAAAGTCCAAGACATGACAAAACAGAAACAATTAACTGAGTAAAAAGGCATCTTCTGGGAAACTCTCACTCAGCACAAAGAGATTCGAACTCCTGCTGCAAAACAAACCATTTTATACGAATGTGTATTCTCCTCATTTAAATATATGCATTAGGAGGTCTGTTTTCCTTTGTGTGGGCTGTCTTAATTTTAATTTTATTACCTCCTGATATATGGATTGTCAAACTGGGTCTCTGCCGTACCAGGCGTCTCCTGCAAACTCTCCCTGAGCTAAATTTACGACCTCTGTCTGTTTTATTTTTCTGCCTCAAATGATTCCACAAGAAAGTAGTTTGTATTTTTAACCAAGCTTGCACACAATGTAATGCTAAATAATGACTATAAGTTTGGATCTAAGAAGTAACTAATTCAAAACATGCTTAAAGAAATATATTTAATTCTAATATAAATAAAATTATTTATAAAAAGTTTTAAGATCCTAGTGAACTTTTGAACCACGCTAAGGAATTTGTTAATTGCCTGGCAGACAGGCTCCCTGTCTAAATAGATATCTAAATTTATCTTAAAGTAAAGATTAGCCTGTGTACTATTGTGCTAATTTAAAATTCAATTTCAACATAGCCCACTTCTGGATATCGGCTCATGAATTTGCGAGTTAGCTTAATAGTTAGCGGTGAGCTAGCTCCATACTTAAAGTCAACATTCAGTTAGCCCAGAGCTAATCAGAGCTAAATGCTTCCTTTACCAACAGAGTATTTAGCTAGCTAGCAGGTAAATAGCTAGCTTGTTTACAGGCTAACTAAACTAGTTAGCTAATAGTTTACAAGCTAAACAGCTTGTTAAATAAGTGTTTATTTGAAACAGATGAATGAATAAAACCTGGTCAAATATGACTTTAGAAAGTGAATCTTTATATTAAATTATTGACAGGCTGAATAACCCAAATAACTGCTTAGTTTTGTACTATATAACTTTAGAAAATGGTGTGAAAGCGATGCGGCCTACAAACCTGACCCAGTTCAACTGGTTCTGTTGGGAGGAATGGGCCAGAACTCCAGAAACCTGCTATTTACAGTCAGGCAGTGCGACGGGCAGCCCGACCCAAATCCTGGGGAGGCTGAATGAAGCTCAACTGCATAGTTTTCAAAAATCTCTCAGAAATAAACATTTAGTAAATAAAAATAATATAATAGTCATAATTGAGATAAACAGGAAACGTGTGATTTAATGTCTGGATTGTAAATAGACTCCATTTGAATGTAAACCATTAAAATATGAAACAAATTCCTCACTTGGTGTTTTAAACAACATCCTCTGAGTCACATTATAATTAAACATTGAATGAACATTAAACAGCAGGACATAAACACAGTGACAGTTTGTAGAAGTTTATATAAAAATCAACATTGAGCAGAAGGGACGACACTCCCAGCTGGGCCTTCATTTTCCTGTTTACATGGCTGTACTGTTTCCCAACATGTAAAATAATAGACAGTTAAATAAAGAGGATCAGCAGAACGTGAACCTCATGTTCAGATCCCACCCAAAGTGTTTCAGTGCTTCATTCTGACGACTTCATGGTCAGACGATAAACAGCGTTTAAAAATCAGCAGGAGGAAACTGGATTATCTCCCTATAAACTGGTTTCTGCATGGACCAGAGATCACTGCTGCTTCAGCTCAACGGAAACTATGAGACCCTGGAAATAAGGTTTCCTGTTCAGTGTCCAGTCAGGGAGCAGCCTGAAGAGGGCGCTGTTGACCTGGAGAGGATCCTGTCTTACTGTTTTTACCTGATCAGCCACCATGTGGAGGAAAACCATGAGGAGAACATGTGAGTCCTTCAGAGGAGAACAGAACTCCTTCCTTCTTCCTCTGGAATATAATCTGATCTCAAGTTAAACCCAAGATTACAAAACCAGTTCTACTGACAAAGCTAACCTTCATCAAACCAAAGAAAATGGAAAATGATAAATCTGTGTTGCTGTGACCCAAAGGCATCATCTGCAGCAGTTTCTCCTGAAAGGTTTCTAATTTTGGACGGATACTGAGCACATTTCATCCAAAGGTTTCTCAGTCATTTGAATCCTCTGGTCTGTAGCAGGACATTCTGAAATGACTCCGCTCCACATCCTCTGGGTTTATGGACGGATCCGGTCGGGTTTTAACTTTTGACGACCCGTTCCTTCCAGTGGATCTTACAGAGCTATTTCTAAAAGACATCCGTTGACTCCAACGTGACCGCGTGAGCTCAACGTCTTCCTTGAATTTCTTGGTGGAGTAGTAGTACAGCAGCGGGTTGACCACGCTGTTGGACGCCGCCATGCACAGCGTAATCGCCACGGCTCTCTGCAGCAGGTTGGTGATGCTGCAGTTCCAGTGGGCGTTCACGGCGTGAAGGTGCAGGGTCCGGATCACGTGGTAGGGCAGGAAGCAGAGCAGGAAGGTTGCTATCACCGTGACGAGCAGGCGCACTGAGCGCTTGTTTTTCTTCCTTAACTTCATGCGTGTTTTCAAGTCCTGAAAATATTCTGGGTGTGTCAGACTGTGGATGATCTTGGTGCAACACAGGATGATGGTGAAGAACGGCAGCACAAATCCAAAAATCAACGCCACGTAGTTCAGGCTGAGAATGCGGGACCAAGACTGTGGAGTCGCCGGCTCAAAGCAGAGGTATTCCACCTCTGGAAGGAAGCAGAGGAGAAACTTCAGCATCCTGTGGTCCTCTGCTTGGTCCCAGCCAGCAGCAAACAAAGACGTATCACTGGTGCTCTGACTCTTACCTTTCTTTAACGCCGCTGCCAAGGAAGGGCACAGAGGACACGGCCACAAACAGCCAGATTCCCAGACACATCAGCAAGGTTGACCTGAAGTTTCTCATGTACTGATAGCGTATTGGATAGACGACGGCCAACCAGCGGTGGAGGCTGAGGAGCGTGAGGAACAGGATGCTGAAAGGCAGAGAGAGCAGAGATGGCACTGAAATATTCCCCAAGCCAAAGGGGATTGAGGACGTTCCTGTCCTACCTGGAGTAGAGATTGACGTAGAAGCCGTAGACACAGAGTCTGCAGACCCAGTCAGGAAAGGTCCAGTGGCCATTGTTCATGTAGTACGCCAGTCGCAGAGGCAGGGTGAGGGAGAAGCTGCCGTCAGACAGGGCGAGGTTCACCATGATCACAGAGACGGGTTTGTTCCTGCGGATGGAAGGAAGAGGAGACGGACAATCAGGGCAGCGTGAATCAGTGTGTAGGAATTCACAGCCTGATCTCTTCCTTCAGTAGCAGGAACCTCTGTTTGTAAGACATTTGCCTTCCTGTTGGACGTTGGAAAGAGGACAACACAGGAGCAGTGACTGGTTCCAGTGGAGTCCACCTGCTGGAGGTTCTCCAGAGTCCAAACAGATCCAGAGTCTCAGAGTCCAAACAGATCCAGAGTCTCAGAGTCCAAACAGATCCAGAGTCTCAGAGTCCAAACAGATCCAGGCTATGAAAGCAGAGGACACGTCACACAGACCGAGGGCTGAGTGAGGAACAGGTCTGTTGACCCTGCAGTGACCTGAACACCTGTCCACAGAGTCACCTGCCTCTCACCTGCTGACAGACGACGCACCCAGTGCATCGCTGGTCGACATGTAAATGCTTGAAAAATCCCAGTGCCAAACCACTTCCAGGTAAAGATGGTATCCACTACAGTCTACTGTCTGACCTCAGAGAGACAGTTTATGGGACAGACTCAGTAAACAGAGTCTGCCCCAACCGACAGCCTGGCCAAGGACAGCATTAAACTCTGGGGGAGCTGCAGAGATCCACAGCTCAGGTGGGAGAATCTCTGAAAATGAGAACCGTCTCACTTCTACCACATAAACCTGAACTTTAGCAAAGGGAAAACAGTAGATGTTTCTCTTCTCTCCAGGAGGGTCACTGATGGCGCTGTTAAGGTCATGTTAATGAGACTGTTCCCCTCCTGGCCTGTGGGGGCGCTGCACCAACAACCACTGCAGGAAACGACACTAAAACCTCTGAAGACACTGAGAGCAACTTCCTGTTTCACCAGATGAAACAAGATGGAGGCGTCAGAGTTTAGTGATTTCTCTTTAGTCTTTGGCTGCTACTAGCGCTAGGCTAGCATGTTAGCTTTGGTTGTATTTACCCAGAATAATCTGGGTAAATACCTGATCTGGATCTCCTGATCTGGATCCTCCTGATCTGGATCTCCTGATCTGGATCTCCTGATCTGGATCTCCTGATCTGGATCAGAACCAGGCTGGACGCGGTTCAGTTCTAACTCCCCTTCTGGCTCCACAAGGCTTCATTGTTGACACACCTGAATGTTTGCTTGCTTATCTCGGATCCGATCAGCTGCTGTGATGAAGTTAATGGCTTCATTTCCTGGTTGTCATGCAGCCTGGTGAACTAATGGCTGAGAAGCCAATAAGCCTCCAGCCTGCCGGTCAGGCTGAGGCAGAAAGTCCTGCTGCTGAGGGAAGCGATCTGGACGTTTGTCAGGTCAAAGAGCTGCTGCAGGTTTTAGGGAGGAGATTCACTGAGGATGAAACGAGACAAAAACTGTTTCTCTTTACATTCCTGATGATTATCTGACACAATGCCACCCACATGCCGAAGATTCCCATCCTCCTCCTCATCACAGGCGACCCGTAAACAGTGAAAGTGGATTTCACTGTTTCATGAGCAGAAACTAAAAGTTTTTACGCCTTATTTATCTATTGGTTGTTGTTGGTCTGATTCATGGCAGGTTAAAGCTGCGCCGTTCACACCAGCTCTGGTTAGTCCACTTTGATCCAGCTGTCAGTCTGCCGGGTCGACCGGACCGTCAGGAGGAAACAGCCTAACTGCTGTAAGGCAACATGACGGACCCCCAGAACCAGCTGGATCTGTCCGTCGTGTTGCTTCGCCTTCATTACCGTATCACAATGTAACTTCATGAACCGGTTCTTCAGAATCATCCGGTCCGATCCCAGCTGGTTTCAGACAGGCTCCAGGATTAAAGTGGACATGTTGATGTTTCAGAGGAACCAACATGTTGGACAGTTTTAGCAGAACTCAGCCGAGCCGTCGGCGCCGTGACGCAGGTCCAGCTGATGCTGCGTTTCCAGCTGCTCTGGAATGAGATGCTGTTCACTGGAACAGGATGTGGCAGCTGGGAGGCGCATTTCTGAGCAACACCTCAATGATCTGGTTCATCAAGTTTTGGTTTCTTTACCTAAAAAATTCAATCCATCCTGAAGCGCACAGGGTTAGAGTCTGACTGGCTGAACGACTCGCCAGAGAAATCTGGGAAATATAAACCTGGAAGAAACGACAGCATGTGCAGAAATGACAGGTGGAAGAGTGATTGGACTTTTTAACAGAACCACTGAGTGTCACAGAACCAATAAGGTTCTTTGCAGAGATGCTAACAGCAGTTAGCATCCAGGATGCTAACTGCTGAGTGCAATGAGGTTTTCTCTGCACTCAGATTGAAACGATCCAGTAGAAACATCTGAGCAGAAAACATGAGATCTGTTTCAGCTCCGCTGGTCCAGCTGGAGTCTTCCTCTGCATCGCCAACCAGAGCAACAGGAGGTCAGGAGGTCAGCACAGAGATCCATTGGTGGAGAGGTCACGGGGTCACAGCCTGTTTCTGTTCAGGGTCGTTGACCTCGACTCTGCTAGAAAACACTTTCAGTATCTGGTTGCTTCATGTCTGCGCTCCGGCTCTGCTGGCTTTATGGCAGACAGAAGAGCTGCTAACAGTTTGCACAGCGTTATTAACGCTGTAAAAATAATTTGTTTATGAAGATGTAAATTTTTACTGCAGCAGTTTCATTTGAACGTTTCTTTTCCATCCAGGGTGAATATTTAAATCATTTTGTCATGGACAGAAACAGTGACGTTCACTTTTGGAACTAAAACTGTGCTAACAGCAGAGCTAATGCTTGTTTTGCTAACTCTGAAAATATTTAGCGCTTAAATTCATTCTCCAGATCATTTCAAAGCTCTAAGTTTCTTGGCTGTTTTTTAAACTTCCAGTGAATCAAGTTCTGGATATTGAATTCTCCAGTTAGTGCTTTATATTGATGCTCTTATTTTGAAGGGAGTGAACTCAGTTTGTTTCCATGTTGCTGCAAATGACATTTATTCTGTACCCAGAATGCATCACTGCAGTGAGTGGTTCAATATGCTGTTGCTTTCCTGTCGTGGTCATTAGCAAAACTAACAATTATAAACCAGAATCAAAGAATCACTTCTGAAGTGAAAACTGAATCGGTCGGTGTGAGATGATAAATTTAATCTGGTTATTGACAATATGCTATGTTGTTGCTCATGTTGACACACAGATTAGCAACATCACTGAACATAACAGTTTAGTGCTAGCTTCCACTGAATACCATGTTGGCATTGTGCTTTAACATTAGCTAATGCTATTGGCACTGTGCTTTAGCATTAGCTAATGCTAAATACCATATTAGCATTGTGCTTTAGCATTAGCTAATGCTTAATACCATATTAGCATTGTGCTTTAGCATTAGCTAATGCTTAATACCATATTAGCATTGTGCTTTAGCATTAGCTAATGCTAAATAACATGTTGCCATATTGCTTTATCATTAGCTAATGCTAAATACCATATTGGCATTGTGCTTTAGCATTAGCTGATGCTAAATACCATATTGGCATTGTGCTATAGCATTAGCTAATGCTAAATACCATATTGGCATTGTGCTATAGCATTAGCTAATGCTAAATACCATATTGGTACACCACTTTAGCTCTAGTGCAACTAATGTTTAGTGCTTCACAGTTAGCTAAACGTTTTAGTTAGCGGCGCCGCCACTGAACAGAAACAGTCGGAGGTCGGTTCTGTGTTCATGAGGAAAGTGTTTCAGGTCAAACCTGCATTTCTTCTGCTTGAAGAAGACCACCAGCGCTATGATGTTGCAGAGGAACGCCACGGGGAACACCAGGAAGTAGGTGTAGATGTAGGCGTTGTATTTGAATTTGTCGTCGTCATGGGGACAGATCCGCGCGTTGTTGCTGCTGTTTGAGGCGTTGCCGGGCAACCGTCCTAGAAAACGTCCACAAACAGAAAGACTGAAGCCAGAGGGTCAATGAGGGAAAGGTCAGGAAAGATGATCAGAGTTCATCAGCATCCATGTGAGCATGTCCTGCCTTACAGGCACTAGCATGAAGCTAACAGCTGTTAGCATGAAGCTGAAATGAAATGTTTCCATTCTCTCTGATTTCTGTTCCTTCTCAGTTTGAGTCCATCGCCTTCGTTCCTGCTCAACACAATAAACTTTCAGATGAAACTTTTCTCCTCGTGACGTCACTTCCTGTCAGTGATGTCACAAATGCTCTTCATATCATTGGTTCTGTTTTATTAGACAATAAATAAACCTGTATTGGTTCAAAGTTTGACTCTAAGTTCCTTTTATTTTGGTGATCTTCCTGTCATCTTCATCATCATCATCATCTGCCTTCTATTTATTTCATATTTTTCTGATTGTATTTCTAGTCTTGTTTTTGTATTTCTAGTCTTGTTTTAACTTCCTGTTTCTTCATGATTCGTCATCCTCTGCTTCATCTTTGCTTTCAGATATTCTGACCCAGTCATCACCTCCACTGATTAAATGCCTCCTGTGTTAGTCACCTGCTGTCAGATGGTTTTCACTGTTTAAAGCTCAAAATTTAAGATCATCTGAGATTTTAATACCAAGTCAGTTTTCAGTATTTGTTTTCAAACAGGGCCGGGTCTTTAACGTGTTAATTAGATTAATTAATTACATACATTTTGATGAGTAATTAGATTTTTTACATTAAAGGTTCCATCATCATCCACTGACTACAGTTTTGTTGTGTTCGAGTTGTGCTAAAAGCAGTTAGCATGTCAGAGAAGCTATTCAAGAATAGCATCTTAATGCTAACATGTAGCAGCTAATGCTAATGTCAGCGTCCAGATTCCTAAAGAAACTGCATGAGCGATGAGAGAAACTCTGAACATTAAAAACTATAAATATTAATTCAAATGTCTGTTTATTCAATAATTTAGCAGCAAAAAAAGATTTATGAAGAAAGCAGTTGACTTCAGTGATGGTTTAATTTAAATTAACTCAAAGTTTTAACCACTAGTTTAATAAACATTTCATGCAGTGAGGAACAAACTGACCATGTGAAAAAGTTTTCACACAGATCTGATTCCTGCCAGACGTTCAGAGTCAGTGAACGACAGAACCCGTCTGGACCCGTCTGGACCCATCTGGACCCGTCTGACAGCAGGAAGTAGGAAACACTGCAGGAACTGAAGAGGCTCAGTATTAATGTTTATCTAAGTTTGAATTTCTGCATGTTTCCGACTAAAATAACTTTCTGATTACGCTGCAGCTGCACGATTCACACAAACTCAAATATTACATCATTTCAGTGAAACAGCAGAACGGGACTTTGAGCACGAATGATTTGGTGCAGCTGTGGATTGTAAACTGCAGATTAACATAATCTGGTGTTTAACCAGTGATGATCACTGACAGTGACCGGCTGACCATCAGGTCAGGCTGCATGTTCGTCTCCTTGGGAAAAACTTCCAGCTCTCTCTGAGGACAGTTCTGTAAACTTTACTGCAGGTTCAGTTCTGATCAGGTTCTGACACGTCGGAACAGAACCAGGAAGCGGTCCAGATTTAGCTCTGACGGAGCAAAAATGGAGAAACTGATAAAAGATCTGGATTAAACGTGTGAACCAGGAAATGGCAGGAAACGTCTCCTGGTGTGTCACAGTGTGTGTGTGTGGTGTGTGAAGGTGTGAAGGTGTGTGAAGGGTGTGTAGGTGTGTGTAGGTGTGTGTGTGAAGGTGTGTGTATGTAGTGTGTGTGTGAAGGTGTGTGTGTGTGTGTGTGGTGTGTAGGTGTGTGTGTTGTTCAAACTGCTGGAACAAAGCAGCTTTCATTTGCGCAGCATCGAGAAAAAAAGACAGTTTGTTCTGGACTCTGGATTTGAATGACGGTTCATCAACTGGATCATAAAATGGAAATGAACCGTGATGCGTTCAGGTTCAACTCTAACTGACGGTGCGTGATGCGTTCAGGTTCGGGTGTGAAGGACCGTGATGCGTTCAGGTTCAACTCTAACTGATGGTGCGTGATGCGTTCAGGTTCAACTCTAACTGACGGTTCGTGATGCGTTCAGGTTCGGGTGTGAAGGACCGTGATGCGTTCAGGTTCGGGTCTGGGCGTTTTCATGCTATTCATGGTGTTCTGCCTTTATGTGGTTAATAAAGTCTAAATGAAGCAGATCATCATTAATAAGATGAATTTTCTCTGGACGGAGGCGGCCGGCTGTGACCTCTGACCCCAACTCTGAGCTGTGTTTAGAGTTTAGATAAGTGACCCTGAACTGTTCAGCAGTTAAAGTAACAGACGAATAAAACCAGCTGGTTGGACTTTAAATTATAATTAATATGAACTTTAGGTTTTAGAAAATGTGAAAGTTTTTACTTTGTTTTTATTTTTGTTGTTTTCTAATTTTAGAGCAAAATATTGTTTTATTCTAGTATTTAGTATTTGTTTAATTTTTAAGCCATTTTCCTTTAAACTTTAGCATTTTATCTATTAAATATCTTTTGTTTTAGATAATTTTTTGCTGTCATTAGTTCCCACGTGTTTGCACTTTGACCTTTGACCTGAGAAAGTTAGTTTGAACTTAACATTATTTCTTTGAGTGTTTAATATTAAATAGAAACATTTAAATATCAGGTCATTTTAATTCTGTTGTAGTTTATTATATTGTTTCTGAGAGTTTGAATATATGCACAAAATATTCATATAAATAATAATAATAATAATAATAATAATAATAATAATAATAATAATAATAATAATAAGTGAATCATTTAACCTGCAGATCAATATAGGATCTAGACATCATTATCTATATCTCTAGACATAGATAATGACACTAGAAGTGCAGAATGTTTGGTTCTATGTTTCTCACCCTCCATCCTCGCAGCTGGTTCCGCCTGCAGCTCCATCGTCCAGCCACCGGTCCGGTCCGGTCCGGTCCGGTCCGATCAGCAGCAGCGCTCGCAGCCCTCTGGTGTCGGTTCGGATCCCGGGCTGAAGTGGTTCCGTGGAAGGGGCGTGTCCTGGTCGGGCGTGGAGCCTCGGAGCTCCGATTCCTGGGAACTCCGGCTCTCTTGTCTGGTTCTTCCTGATCCAGTTCGGTTCCTCAGAGCAGCGGAGGGTGTTCACTTATGACGTCATAGGTAACCTCAGGTCGGCGCTGGAGGCCAAAATAATAATAATAATAATAATAATCATAACAACAGCGGCGCTTCGGTTCCCTGCAGCCTGAGGGGAAAGAACCGGTTCATCAAGTGATTCATTCCTTCAGTTGTTCAACATGGAAACAAACATAAAGTTACTTAAAGGCTCATATTGAAATATTTACCCCAAAACCAAGAAGGATGAACAAGTAGACTGTAAACCAGCCAGGCTCAGCGGGGACTGGGAGATTCCCAGTTCAACCAGTTCAACCAGTTCACCAGATAGAACTGTTATTTTAACCTCAATAAATGGAAAAAAAAAATAATAACCCAAAAGCTGCAACCTGGTTCTGAAATGAAACATTAATGAGACAAAAACAAAACAGAGAATCTGTTTTTAATAAATTATGTTTTCAATAAATGAATATAATCTAAAAATAACAATAATACCAATCTATAATCAAACATCACATTCAATGATAGAAAACAATAATATTCAAAATCGAAAATAAAGTAATAATGAATAAATGATCCAGAATCAAAATGTAGAGATTTTTATAAATAAAATACCAGAATAAAACAAAAAGATACATAAATACATAATTAGCTGAATACTACAAAATAAAATGAAACAAAATGGAAGTAAAACAATTAAATGAATAAATAATTGAAATAAAATATAAATAATAAACAAAAAATATTAAAATAAGTTTGTAAAATGACCAAAGTTGAAAGAAATCAGTATAATCCATAAAATACAAGACATTAATGCGAAAATAATTTTTTATATTTTAAAATTACAATACAATAATTACAAAACAACTAAATAATAATAAAATAAAATATGAAATTAGTAAAACATGTCAGTCCAACCCGAGCAGAGTTCAGAGTTCAGTTTGGAAACATGAAAAGTTTCATAAAAGTTTCATAAATAAACATCAGTGAACCTCCAGTGAACCTGGAGGCATCGACCAATCAGAGCCCACAGAGCCAGTCACGTGACCAGCAGCGGCGCTGAGCCAATTAGAGCGCAGACATAAGGGAGACAATCTGACGTCAGCAATGCAACAAGGAGAGGACATGGCGCCACCTGGCGGCGACGGAGCAAAGTAGGAGCTGCAACTTCCGGTTTAGTTAAAGGGATAATTCATCTATTGAACATGAACAAATAAATATAGCGGATTAATTCAGAACATTAAATGTTTCTGCAGACAATTGAGCAGAAATCAGTTTTGGTAAATAAATATCTGTTGGCGACAGAGGACCCAAACTTTCTGCTCTGTGAATCATCATCATCATCATCATCATCATCATCATCATCATCATCATCATCATCATCATCATATAAAAAATATTAACGTTTTTTGAGGTTATAATGAATTTAAATGACGAGTCAGCAGAACCAACTGGTTCTGGTCAGGTTCTGGGTTCGGACCGCCGCTGTCCAGAGGTCAGAGGTCAGGTCAGCAGCCGGACGGGTCGGCCGCGTCCGGTTGGGTCGCTCTGCACTTCAGCAGGGAGTAAACGCCGTGTTGTTCTGGTACCACTGCTGGTTCTGGAGGGAAACAGAACCCGGGTTAGCAGCCGTTTCACAGAGACGACATCCCAGCTCCAGTTAGTCAGACTGGTTTATCGTTCACAGGTTGGATGGGATGGACTGGGTCGAGCAACATCTGACCAATCAGGAGCTGTTCTCATGGCTTCACTTGGTGCTGCAAACATCTACGGCGAGAAGAAAAACTGTTGATGGATAAAATAATGTTCATAATCGCAGCATGCAGCACTTTAATGAAATTAAATATGAATTATTACAGATCCAAACTTTAAAATGTTCCTTTTAACAAAATGATCATTTTTAGAAACAGAACGGATTTGGTTCTGAGCAGTAACGTCAGGATCTGTGACTTTTTGCTGTATTTCATAAACGACTGAAATCAGATTGGGATGCAGTGAGGATGGACTGAAGGTCAGGGCAGAGAGGTCAAAGGTCAGCAGCAGCCTCACCTGTCCTGGTCCTGATGCCGACCGTCCCGTACGTCACGCCTCTCTCTCTCCTCACCGATGAGTAAACGGGTCCTGGATCGGGTTCTGCAGCAGAACAGAGTCAGTCACTGAAACGCTTCCAGGACATAGAGCTGTGTTTCTAGAACATAGAGCTGTGTTTCTAGAACATAGAGCTGTGTTTCTAGAACATAGATCTGTGTTTCTAGAACATAGAGCTGTGTTTCTAGAACATAGATCTGTTTCTAGAACATAGAACTGTGTTTCTAGAACATAGAGCTGTGTTTCTAGGACATAGAGATGTGTTTCTAGAACATAGAACTGTGTTTCTAGAACATAGATCTGTTTCTAGAACACAGAACTGTGTTTCTAGAACATAGAGCTGTGTTTCTAGGACATAGAGATGTGTTTCTAGAACATAGAACTATGTTTCTAGAACATAGAGCTGTGTTTCTAGAACATAGATCTGTGTTTCTAGGACATAGAGCTGTGTTTCTAGAACATAGATCTGTGTTTCTAGGACATAGATCTGTGTTTCTAGAACATAGATCTGTGTTTCTAGAACATAGATCTGTGTTTCTAGAACATAGATCTGTGTTTCTAGAACATAGATCTGTGTTTCTAGGACATAGAGCTGTGTTTCTAGAACATAGATCTGTGTTTCTAGGACATAGAGCTGTGTTTCTAGAACATAGAGCTGTGTTTCTAGGACATAGAGCTGTGTTTCTAGAAGTGACAGAAACTGGAAACCATCAGAGGTTCTGGATCTGGATGACAGAGAAACACCTGATCTGAGGTAAAACCCAGAAACACTGAACCGGATCCGGATTGTACTGGATCTGGATTCAATCTGATCTGGATTTAACTGGTTCTGGATCTGGATGTTCCAGTTCTGTACCTGTTGTGTCTGGAGCTTCAGGTGTTTTTCTCCGTGTCGATGAATAATCAGCTGCTGACTCTAAACCGTTTAGGAGAATAAATACAGAATAAAACATGATGAATATTTTTATATTTCAGACTTAAAGCAAAAATTAATCAGATTGTTTGACCAAATCACCTGAGTGTTTGTGAAGCTGAACTATTTCTACAAGTTCATTTTAATTAACAACATTCACGACTTTAAGGAATTAAAATCTTATTCCTGCATCTAATATAATATTTAAACATGATTTCTATGTGAATTAATATAAATATTGTAAAATAAACAACAGTTACTGCTGTTAGATAAATGAAACATCGTCTGGTTCTGATCTGACTGGAAATCAGGTCCATTCAGATCAGCTGATCAATTAGTTATTGATTATATATTGTCCTGTCAGCTGGTTTCAGGAAATGAACCATAAACGGACCTGCAGCAGTGGATGAATCTGTTGCGTCTGCAGCCTCTGCTGCCCATGAAGATCCAGCTGCTGAGTTTCTGTCTGCAAACCAAACAGGTTGAGAGAAACGAGTGAAACATGATGAAGGTCATCAGAGGTCACAGCTAGACCCAGCTGAGCTGAACTCAGGAATCTATCAGGAGTTAATTATGAATATTTAGTGAAACTGTTTCCCACAGCTGGAAGAATCTGTTAGCCTGTTAGCATGAGGCGGCCATTCTAGCATGCTAACAGATAGCATGTCAGCATGATATCTGTTATTATCTGATATTCATCTATTTGCATATGAACATATGCTAACAGATATTCATAACCTTACGTTACTCCGTCAGCTATTAGCATGTTAGCATGACTGCCTCATGCTAAGCTGTCAGCTAGCTCTGCTCATCCTCTGGCCGTATTGTTCGCTAACATCCAGGAAGCTTCATTTAAACTCCTCTGAGGTTCCGGGTCGTAGTTCAAATGTAAATTAAGCTAATCAGCTGATCCCAGTTTTATATAAACAACCCTCCCTGTTGCTATGGCAACAAGGAGGGTTTACCTTTGAACAACTGTCCAAAGGTAAAGGGCTGAGAACAGTGGTGGGTACACTTTGCTAATCTGCTAAAAGGCGAGCACATGATTTATTTAGCACTTTAGCATTTTGCTAATACAGGAAACATTTAGCGCACTTAGCTTCACCGACATTAATTCTTACAGATAATTTCTGAAGCGCTAATTCCCTCTGGTTTGGTTCTCGACTGGTTTGGTTCTCTTCAGGTGGTTGGACGTTTATTTTCATGCTATTACTTTGAAGTGGAGGAAGTTTCATTTCCTCTCCTTACCTATTAACTTGCAACAAAAGATGCAGAATGCATTGCTAAATCAGAGCTAGCAAAACTCAACGAGTAGGAAACTGAAACCTGAACAGGAGCAAACCAGTACAGGCAGATGTGCATGACACATTTCATTCAGTAGAGGGCGATATGCTGAATGAGACATGATGTTTATCAACGTAGTTGAAGTTAGCACATTAGCCTTAGCCTGCCAGCAGAACCAAAGTTTATGTTTAGCATAGCTAACGTTTAGTTAGCAGTTCCCACCACTGGGTGAAAGAAAAATATATTTCTGATTGGAATAACCTGCTTCAGAGCCGCTATCGCTACATTAGCATTAGCATCCTGACGTAAGCCTTCCTGTTTGCTGCTTTCTTCATGGATAAATACAGAGCTGCAGCATCTGGCTGCAGATCACAGGAAGGAGAAAACAGCAACAAGTTGCAGCTAGTGGTGAAGCAGAAAGAAAATGTCGCAGCTTCTTCACCAATAACAATCTGAAGGTGTGATTTGTTTTGTTTAGACCACTGCAGAAAATCCAGAGCAGCTCATTACACTGAAGATCTAAAATCAGCTGATTCTGACTCTTCTGCTGATTAAACAGTTTAAA